CCTGTTCTCTTCCAGGGTCACATGGACAGGAAGCCTGATTTGGGGGCAGAACTAGAAATCTAGGTACTCCAGTTTGGAACGCGGTTGTTACAATTGATGTTTAACTCATGTGCGAGATACCTGCTCCTTAAAGTAGCTTTTTTGTTTAGATATGAAGTTCTATTTAGTTCATATTGTTGCTTTGCATGAGAAAGCAAGGTTAAAAATACTGAATTATCTAATGCTGTGGTGTGTCCTTGTGAAGTAGCAGTGTGTGTTGACTGATGTGCATCTTGTAGATGTGGGAGCTGCTTGTATGTTTTTCAGTTCTAGGGTGGTGATGTACAATAAAGAAATGCAGGATTGCTAGCAGTTGGAATGCTGTTTATGTGACTGCAGAAGACAGTATTGCCTAAACTAGTATCTAATGTATGTGCCTGTGTCATCTTATGGTGTCACCTTGTGGTTTCAACTGAAAAGTGCCTGTGGCAATAGTAAACTTGTAACAGCACATCACTTCAGTTTGCATTTGTCATGCCAAAAGAACAATCCAGTTTTAGCTTATTCATCGATTTTAATGGAAATGTCATTGTTTAGAACAGAAAATAATTTATTATTTTTTATCATGAATTTTTCAAAGCCATCTTGAATGTTTGCTTTTTTGGATCCCTGTTTGAATCCTGGAATATCTTACTCTAGTTGCTTTAAGAAATTCTATGAGCAGTCTGCTGGAATTGATCAGGTTGAAGATAGAATGCTTAAGAATAGTGTAGAGTGGCCTGGTGCAGTGGTTCAGTTGGCTAATCCTCCTCCTTCAAGTGCTGGGATCCTATATGGGTGCTAGTTTGTGTCCTTTCTGCTTCACTCTGCTTGTGACCTGGGAAAGCAGTCCAGGTTGGCCCAAAGCCTTGGGACTCTGCATGCATATGAGAAATCTGAAAGAGGCTCTGGCTCTTGGCTTTAGATAGACTCGGCTCTAGCCATTGCGACCACTTGGAGAATGATCCAGCAGATGGGAGATCTTTTCTCTTCTTCTTTGTGTAAATATCTTTCAATAAAAATAAGTAAATCTTTAAAAAAAACCAATGCAGAGTAAAGTTAGTACTTTAACACTGTTTTGCAGGATGGGTTTGAGTTAGGACATAGGCATGAAGGCAGTCAATTAAACAAGTAAAATAACCAGTGAGAGACTGAATGGGGACCTTTTGCAGCCTTGTGTCTCTGTTCTCTTGTTTTGTGTAATTGGGCTTCAGTTTCCCCAGAAGAATTTCTCTGGGTATAGTAATAGTTGTAGCAGTAACAAAAGCTGTACCTTCTTCAAGAAGAAAGCAGTTACAAGATATTTTCTTGTCTAAAACTAGTCAAGCAAGAGTTTAATGGGTGCTACTATGTAGCAATAGTCTTGGCAATGGAGTCTGTAACAATTCCTAGAGTAATGGATAGATTCCTGATTGTTTCTTCATTAGTAACTATGCTACAACATGGCACAGAAGAAACACCGCTAGAATTCTGTGCTGCTAAGCAGATGACTCAGATCTGACTCCTTAATCTGATGAGAGAGGGGCTAGGTCATGATGTTGGGTCTTCTGTCTTGACAACAAAGTGGACAGATGTCCTAAGAAAGAAGAGTGATCCCTGGAGGGAGAGAGTTGAGGTTGAGGTGGTAGGTAGAAGTAATACAGATGAATGAATGATTTAGTTGGATATGAAGAGGCTGCTAAGATCCAAAGACTAATCAATAAAGCAAGATTCCAGGGAGATAAGAGGAATGAGCTCTAACACTGATTAGGTTGAAGGGAAGAACAATATGGAGAAAATGTTTTTCTTTTCTTCTTCTTCTTTTTTTTTTTTTTAAGATTTATTTTGTTTCAAAGGCCCAATTGCAGAGAAAGAAAGCTATCTTTCTTCTGTTGCTTCACTCTAAATGGCTGTAATGATTGGTCACAGCCAGGAGCCTAGACTCCCACGTGGTAATGGGCTCATGCCACTGCCTTCCCAGGTATTTTAGCTGGGAGCTGGATGAGAAGTGGAGCCAGCGCTTAAACTGGCTCTCACAGGGGATGCTGAGGCTTACCTTGCTGTGTCACAGTACTGGTCCAGGAGGCAGGTGTTGTTTAGATAGGAGAAATGTTCTATAATTTAGTTCTTTGCCTTAAATTCACTGTGACTGTTGATCCAGGAGGCTGAAAGCCTTTTATCCCATTACATGATGTATTTCCCATATGACAGTTTTATTATATCTCTGCCAGCTATTTGATTGCACCTACAAAAACAATTGCGTCTCCCAAAACAATTAAGGAAAATTAACCAAAGCCAATATTTGCAGTAAATAATCTGGTAGTTTGGGAAGTTTTAAAATTTATGGCAGCTTTTCTCCTTGTGTTTAAGGCTAAGGTCCTAAATATTTATCTCACTGCAGGGAGTTTTACCAAAGCTTACATTTTCTGTTACTTTTTCCTCTCATTTTTAATCATAGCAAGATTATTGTACAAGTGGAAAACCTAGTAGGATTCACTGACTACATTTTACCCAAATTAGTAGTCTGATATGGCCAGAAAAAAATACACTCCCTTTTCTTCCAAAGTCTGGAGAAGAACTAACTCTTATTTTTATTATTAGAAAATTTGGTGTTTCTATGTTGTATGTGGGATTATTTTACATATGTAATATATTTAGATACTTTTTTCATGCTTCAATAGCTAGCATGCTTCATTTGTTTCAGTTTGTTGGTTTAGCTGCTACTCCCCCTGTTGACTTTTTGAGGTGTTACATTCCATATGGACCCGTGTTAGTAGAAGACGTTTATGCCGCTTATGCTTCTATTCACTTCAACTAAATATACTTCTGAGTAGGCCCTTCAGGGAAAGGCTTTGACGTGATAATGCAGTGATCCTCAGTGTTCTGACTTTCATGGATTTGATTAGGGAAATTTTGTCAGAATGCCTCTTTTGTCAGTAGCCGAGAACAGGTTGTCCATGAAAGACAAATAGGGGAATGAAATACTTATGTATAAAACAAAATGGTGACTTTGGTGTGTCAGATAAATGGAAGTTTTTTTTAGATATTTTCTTCAGATATTTTTCTAATTTCTGTCTGGTATAGATTGAACCATCAGTCAACTTAGTGGAATGAAGTGATGGAGGTGCCTTATTGCATCTGACCAGCACACCGTTTTCCAGATTAATGTTTCAGACCTAAGTAGGACTTCAGTATAGTTGCCTTATGTGATATCACATGCACAGTTGTGACCTGTTTACTTGACTTGCACATTCTTCATGTTCTGTGGGAAACCATATAAAGTTTGCATTATGTAGGTCACAGATTTGAGGTTTAAGATGCCTGCTCCTTGATTAGTTAGCATTTTATCCCTCAGGGTGGTGGTGGCAGTGTTAGGGTCTAAGAATTAGCACATAGCTGTTTTCTTTTTTTTTTTCTTTTTTTAAAGATTTGTTTATTTTTATTGGAAAGACAGATGTATAGAGAGAAGAGGATAGACAGAGAGGAAGATCTTCTGTTCGATGATTCACTCCCCAAGTGGCTGCAACGGCTGTTACTGTGCCGATCCAAAGCCAGGAGCCGGGAACTTCCTTTGGGTCTCCACACGAGTGCAGGGTCCCAAGGCTTCGGGCCGTCCTCTACTGCTTTCCCAGGCCACAAGCAAGGAGCTGGATGGGAAGTGGAGCTGCCGGGATTAGAACCGGCGCCCATATGGGATCCTGGTGCATTCAAGGCGAGGACTTTAGCCACTAGGCCACGCTGCTGGGCCCACTGTTTTCTCTTAAATCCCTTAAGTCAGTGGAATATACTAAATTTTCTGGGGTCCCAAGGCAGTTGGCCTGGAAGTAGTAGCCACTGTTCATGAAACGAAAGTGCTGTTTAAACCCTAGATTCACATTTAGCAGGAGAGGAATATGAGAACTAGGTAGCACAGAGGAAACAACTGACTGAGGCTTTCCTTAATTCCATTAGAGTTTCTCCTTCCGAGGGGTGCGGGCAGGTTTGAGGCATAATTTACTTTGCTTTTTTGCCAGGTGCATGTAGTTGAAGATTTTTTTTTAAAGATTCATTGTTTTTAAAGGAAGTGATATGGAGACTGATGGATTTTGTGTTAGCTGGTTTCCTCCTCCAGTGTTGACAGCTAGGTCTGGTCATGCCAGGAATTCCATCCTAGTCTCCCACACGGGTGAAGGGGCCCAAGTCCCCTGGGCCATCATCTGCTGCCTTTACAGGTGCACTAACAGGGAAGTCGGTTAGAAGTAGACCAGCCAACATTTGAACTGAACTATGTAAGGCCTGCCCTGGAAGTTTTTGTTTTTTAAACATGAAGTGCATATTTGATGTTCCCTTAATGTAATTCCTACCCTCTTGCCTTTCTTGGAGGATTTGGGTGTAAAAGTAACCATTTCAACCCGTGCACCATTTTTAGGCTCTTCCCCTCGAGTATTCTTTTCCATTTGTATTAAAGTTGGAATATATTAACTTTATTAATGTTTTGAAGATCCTTTTCTTTAAAAATTTGGTTACTTGCTAGCCTTGTAAGTGTAGTAATATAAGGTTAATATTGTGCCATTTTTAGTAGCTTATAGAACTTAAAATTTTGTTTTAAAGGCAGAGGTGTGGTGGGAAGAGGGGCCTGCGTGTGTAAACTCCTCTCCTGGTTTACTGCCTGCATGCCCACAGCTGCTCTGCTTGGGCCAGGCTGATGCTGGGAGCTGGGAGCTTAATCTGGGTCTCAAACTGGGTGGCATCTGACTCCAAAACCATTGGAGTCTGGGAGCAGTAGGCCAGTTTCAGAGTGGGATTGAGGCACTTAACCAGAAGCTTAATCACTACACAGAACAGCCACCCTGGTGATGAAATTTTTGTGATATTAAGCTCTTTGCATTTTACCGTTAAGCAAGATAATTGACAACATACATTTTGAAAGTCCATGTAATAATTTTTATGGCCATTTGGAAAAATAGTAATGTTTTTATTGAATCTATCATTTCTGTGTATTGATTTTGTGTGTTTCCATGCAGGTTTCTTTCCTGTTGCATCTTTGATATCATTTCCTAGACTTTGCTCCATGATTTAATTTGAAATTCTGAAATGAAGATGGAGGAGGCAGTGGGAAAAGTCGAAGAACTCATTGAGTCCGAAGTCCCACCAAAAACATCTGAACAAGAGACAGTCAAGGAGGAAGCAGGCTCTGTGGAACTGGATTCTCAAGTTGCGAAAGACAGTGTGACGGATTCTGCAGTTCTCTCTTCCATGCCCTGCTTGTTGATGGAACTGAGAAGGGACTCTTCAGAGTCTCAGTTTGCGTCGACAGAGAGTGACAAGCCGACCACCGGCCGTGTGGATGAGAGTGACTCTTCTAATCACTGCATGCTTTCCCCTTCCTCTAGCGGCCACCTGGCTGATTCAGACACATTGTCTTCTGCAGAGGAGAATGAGCCATCCCAGGCAGAGACCGCAGTGGAAGGAGACCCTTCAGGAGTGTCTGGTACCACGGCTGGGCGCAAGTCTAGGCGGTCTCGCTCTGAAAGTGAGACATCTACCATGGCTGCCAAGAAAAACCGGCAATCCAGTGATAAACAGAATGGCCGAGTTGCCAAGGTCAAAGGTCATCGGAGCCAAAAGCACAAGGAGAGAATCAGACTACTGAGGCAGAAGCGGGAAGCTGCTGCGAGGAAGAAGTACAACCTGCTGCAGGACAGTAGTACCAGTGACAGTGACCTGACTTGTGACTCCAGCACAAGCTCATCTGATGATGATGAAGAGGTTTCAGGGAGCAGCAAGACAATCACTGCAGAGATACCAGGTAGAGGATGTTTTTTAAACTGACTGTAAAGCACCTGATGGCATTTCTCAGCTCTCAGCCTCAGTTAGATGAGACACTTGAAAAAATCCAGGCGACCTGCAGCTCTGTAAATTTGAAGACTGCAGTCTATTAACTAACGGCATGGCCAATTTAAAAAGACCTGTTCTGAGGTTTTCAGTGCACTTGGCACGTTAGCAAACAAAACAAAACAAAAACTATGGTTAATAATAGGGGCAAGATTAATTTAAAGTGATGCTATTTCTCACAAATCTTTCTTCCTCTCTCTGTCTCTGTAACACATTAGCTGGACTCCCATCATTGCCTTTTAAGTGTTGCTGAGATTTGCTGTTCAGCATTATTACTAAGTATGTTCTCAGGAATAGGCACCTTGCATTATCATTATATAGCCACTGCACTCAAGCCTGTGGTGTCTGAAATCACACATTTTTTCATTAGTTTTATAGTAACTGTTTCACCTAAAAAAGGAATGTTTTGTTTTTTTGGCCCTAGCTCAGTGCATGATAACCTGGTTAATTCTTATTGCACATTTTTTATTCTAAGTTGTCACCCATATTGAAGGTTGTGCAGAGGCTTCCCTTAATTCATCGAACTTTTAAAAAGTTGGTTAGGAATTTTCTTGTTTTACCTCTTACTGGTCAAAGGGTCTGTAATTGATCACATAGTTGACATCTGCTTTTCCCGTATTGTGACATCTTTTACTGTGTACTGTAAAGGCAGACTTGAGATTTCCTAGTGGAAAAAAGATGATCCTGAATGATTCTGAACTGATATATTCCTATTACTGAAGAGACTCTGATGATTAGGGACATTTTGTAAACTATGTGATGTTTAATAGATCTTGGCAGCTTTGTGTATTACTACATTAAAGAGGGGAAAGTTCTGGTCTCCTGAAGCTTTTTAATGTGATTGTATTTTTTCCTAGTTTTCTGCCTACACATGAAGACAGCATATTGCTGATACCTAAAGAATATTTTAAAAAAAATCATATTGGTTACCTAAACTTACAGCTAACAAACTTAAATAAATCCAGTAACAGGAACGATCAGGTTCAAAGCACTTATAGGCAATTCAGCTTAAAATACTGAGTCTCATCCGTTTGGTTTATTAAATAAGAATTTTAAAGTCTTTAGAATTGCCTTTCACTTTTTCTCTCCATTGAATTACTTTCAAAAATCCTTGTATTCAGCTATTGGAACGGGGATTTAAATGAAGCTCATGAGAGAAGTGGACTCTGGACTTGTTCTAAGGAAGGTTCTCGGTATTGTTCAGCTTCTTAATATTTTAAGAAGTCTTGATAGTATGTGTAATATGAATGTTCATGCATCTTACATACTGTTCTGGTTTATTAATCAAGATCATGATGGATCTCTTGATAGAGTATTTACTAAATAGTTTTTTATGTAGCCATCCCAGTACTTTATGGAAAGGGAGAAGGTAAATGGACAGAATGCTCTTTGAAGATAGAATCCCATTGTCGAGGTCAGACATTCTCCTTGTTTGGCTTGTGTGGCAGAGGTTAGGTATGCTTTGTTCAGATTTTCTTAACATTTTTGCTAATTGAGTACCTTGATTACTATTTACAACTTCTAAAACACCAGTGGCCTGTTTCTTGTCTTTCTGAATTTATACCAAAGCAAATTAATCTAAACCTATAAGTAGTTTCTGTTTTTCATGTTATTTCATGTTGTTTTGTGGCTTTTAAACATATCTAATTTTTAGGGTAGTTGTGGGAAAGCTAGTGAAGGGTCAAGGTGCATGACTGACTGTGCTGTGCATTGCACAGGGTAGACCTGCATGAATGGTCTTTTCTAGAATTTCGCAAAGCAGAAGAGATGAAACAAACTACAGTTTAAATAGACATTTCAGTTTAACCATTCATATTATTAGCTCTGAAAAATTGTGACATTGTATGTTTTAATGTAACAGCTACATATACTTCAGTTTTCCAAGTTGCAGTATGATCTTAGATATACAGACTAAGTAAGGGCAGTGAAAAGTTATATAAATTGTAAAGGTAGGATAAATGATGACTATGAGCATTCAGGTGACCTAATCTGGATGAACCCAATAGAATCTCTTGGGTGTTGAGATTTGAGTGCAGCTGTTTGCAAAGAATCCAAACAAATTGTAAAAATAAAAACTAAAATTCTTGTTCTATTTCATCAAGGTGCAACTGATTTAGTAATTCAGAAAATGTTTTACAAGTTTTTGTTTGGCATAGTTAATGCATTTTTTTTAAGGTGTGCAAATAGTTAATTATGCAATTTAGTAGCTGAATTTAGTAGCTGGGCAACAGATGTTTAATGCTTATGGATTGTTTTTTAAGTTGATTGTCTGCAAGGCAGCTCATTATCAGCACTACACCATTCTCTCCCTGAAGTTTTTGGAAATACGTTGTTTTGCGACTCTCTATGGAGATTTAGCAATGCAATTTTAGCAGTAATTTCATTTAGGGGACTTAAAATGAGCAGAAATACAGTCTTATTCATAGTATTTTATAATGAATTAATGTGAAAGTATTATGTAATCATCTTGAGCATTTAGAGCTTCTCTTAAGCATTTGATTTATTTATATTTATTTTTTGTGTGTGCTTTGCTTTTTGCAGTTTTATTTTTAAAGATTATTTTACTTGAAAGAATTAGAGAGAGACAGACAGACAGACATAGAGATCTTCTATGCTTCCATCTGCTGGTTCACTCCTCAAATGGCTGCAATGACCAGAACTGGACATATCCAAAGCCAGGAGCCAGGAGTTTTTTCTGGTTCTCCCATTGCGTGTAAGGGGCCAAGAACTTGGACCACCCTCTGCTGCTTTTCCAGGTCGTTAGCGGGGAGCAGGATTAAAAGTGGAACATTCAGGACAAGAGCTGGCACCCATATGGGATGCTGGCATCCCAGGCAGAGTATTAGTGCGCTATACCACTAAGCCAGCCCCTCATCTTTGCAGTTTTCTGATCAGTTATGTTTCCTAGTGGAGTTAGTTTCTATATCACGTCACTTTGGAGTCTGGTGCTTTGATCTGTTGGAGGTGTTTTGATTCCATATGAAATGAATATTAGACATTAGACTTCATTTCAAGGAATTAATTGCCTGAAAAGACCAATGTGTATATATATAAGTATACAAGGATAGCAGGAAAATTTTTTTCCTGTAAATTTAAACTCAGGGAAGCTTCACCTTGTCTTGGCTATAATGGCTTGCTTTTGTGTGCTGTAGCAATCTACTATATAAATGCTATTCTGATTAAGGCTCCAAAAATGTATTCATCGTGATGGGTAGGAATTGGAACTCTTGTCTAGTATTTTTTTTTTTTAGGAGAACATAAAAAAGGTTGTTGTGAACAGTTACCTGAAGTCAGCTGAATTCGCAGTTCATGTGATCAGGCCAGCCGGCTCAGCGCCTCAGAAGCTAGGACCACTGCACTCCATTGCTCAGCATTCATATCAAGGCAGAGAATTATGTCATGATAAGCTGTCTCTTACCTTATAGATTTTGTGGGGGAGATTATATACTTGACCAGTTGACTTGCTTAGAAAATGATAAGTTATTTTAAAGTAGCAAATCCTTTGTAGAGCTTTGTTGAAGTAAAAAAATGTAAAGATTAGGATCAACTATAATGAAGCTTTTTTGCTAACTTTTTAAAATGAGTATTTTAGCATGTTACCTTCCATAACATAGCACAAAATTTGTCATACTAGATACATTTCAGTATTTCTTTTTTCTGTTAATATTGCATTTAAAAATGATTCATAATTTGAAGGACAGAATAATGGAGAGGGGTGGAGGGAGGGAAGAATCTTCTATCTGCAGCAGCCAAGGCTGGTTTAGACTGAAACCAGTAGCCAGAAACTTAATCCCAATCTGTTTTATGGGTGTTGGATCAAGACTCAAGTTACTTGGGTTATCATCTGCTACCTCCTAGGCACACGAATAGGAAGCTGGATTCGCAGCAGAGTCAGGATTCAATTCTAGGCACTTTTCGTGTGAGATGCCAGTGTCTGGCTGATTGGATACCAGCTGGATTGGAAGCAGAGTCAGGATTCAGTCCCAGGTGTGGGATCCCAGTGTCGTGATCTCCATGTAGCCTGGTGCATGCAGTGCCTACCCATTTAATATTAGGTTTTCAATATTCACACAAATCCATGGTGAGCAGTCATGAGTTGTCTCATAATTAAAAACCCTGCGCAGCAGCATTTTGTAAGTTATCACCAGTAAGTAGTTCTCTTACAGTGAATCAGTATCAATTCTAAAAAGTAGAGTCCAGTTTCTTTAAGTCATATTATGAACTGTGGCAGACTTAATATTAAGTAGCACGCATGAGCCCCTTTTATTTCTTTTAAGTGAGTATCTGACATTGCATTGTCAACTATTTAGAATAATATATCGTTTAAGTCTGGTTTTCCGGTGCTGCAGTGACTGGGTGTGAAGTTTATAAACTTTGAAGTCTTGTTAGTAATATCCTTTGGAATGTTTCAAGGTATTTTTTGGCCAGCTTATTATTCCCTAACTTATTATGGTAAATTTTCGTATTAACTTTGTGCAGAAGCATAAACTTTTGATACGTCTTTTTCTCAAAATAGGATATATTCTGGTGTTTATAAAAGGACATGCAAGTTTAAGGTGAAAATGTGATCCTTAGTTTTGTTTTTGAAATAAATTTTTAGAGCAGCTTTAAATTCATAGCAAAATAGAGCAAAAGGTACAGCATTGCCATATATTATCTGCTACTACAACCTGCATAGCTGTGCCCTACCATCAGTATCCTGCATGTGAGTGTACATGTGTTACAAGGATGAACCCATGTTGACAAGTCTGTGAGTGGCTGTTAGGGTCCAGGCCTGCAAGGGCTGGTGTGGGTTTTGATATATGCAGTGTGGTTCTCGTTCTGAGGCCTCAGAAATTCCCTAATCAGTGTTGGTTGTTGATGGCCTTCATTATGAGGCTGCAATTTATCTGACCTCACTCAGTATAAGTGTTC